GGTGGCCGATGTCCGATATTCAGTTTTAAGGCCGATACCGATAGGGGGCCGATTATATCCTGCATCCCTAATTAAAAGCCAAAGTTAAGGATATTATAATTTTTTGTTTCATGAGTAACTTTCATGCAAAGAGTAACTTGTTGGATTGTGTTAAAAAATCTGGAAATACTGAAAGCAAAGGAGCCAGTAATATTCAGAAGAGGAGCTGAAACTCAAAATAATGGTGTGACATTTTCTTCTTATCTCTCCTGTCTTCCACAGTCCCTCCTCTCTCCTCTCCTTCCATTGTGCTCTAGATTGTCGACACAGTGAGAATGCATTAGTGCGTGTCAGCTGTGGCGTGAATGTGTTGACCTTGCTCTTGTCCTGGAAGTCTCTGTGTTATCTCTCATGTTCTTTTTGCACACACACAATATAAGACATGGGAAGAGCAGCTACTCATAAGGCTAAACTCTCTTTCTTTGTGTCACGCTGTCACTATTCTTCTTCTGACCGTTTTTCTGCCTCCAAGCGTCCGCGGGTGAACAGTTCATCACTGCTTCTTGCGTGCAGGGAGCACAAGCGAGTGACTCCTAGCCCTGAGTGCATGTGCAGGTACAAGAGTGAGAGGACGGCAGCGAGAGGCATAATGATAATGCAGCAAATTCAGATAATATATTGAGGCATTAGTTCTATACTCAGTATCAGTGTGACTCATGGAAGGTCAGACTCAGAGTGATGGAGAGATCCCACTCCTCCTTTTCTCACTCCTATACACTGTTTCCATTCACACAAAGTCCCAAAAGCACCGCAGTGTAGGAGAAATGACTCCTTTTATCCAGGGGGGGAAGGCGTCATGTTTCGCAGCACTATTTAATCATAGTTACCCGACGCTAATCTCTTCTATCTGCATTACCTGCTTACTTATGCATTATTGAATCTGCATCAACATCACATGCTGCTAATCATACTTAAAGCACTTTTTGGAGTGTGGATATAACTTTTTTATCAGTTTCTTCAAGCTTGAAGAATGGCTGGTAAATTAGCTGGTTAAAAGCACTAGCTTATTTTGGCTTGAGGAGCCTTTGCTTGCAGATTGGCTGATCCTAGACTCAAACTGCCAATGTTTTTCACGTCTTTAAATACACCTTAAAGAACTGCTGTAAGCGCACAATGCTAATAGCTCTCTTAGGTATGGAGGCTGTTCCTGGACTCCAGAATAGCTATGTTTATTGTATTAATGGTCCAATCCAATGAGAAGCTAATTAAACGCTATTTTAGCTGTTTATTCATTCTATTACGACTGATAACTGGATTTTACTTGGTCCCGCCCATTTTGCTATTAAAGCTTCTAGTTAGAGTGGCTCAGGTTATCCTGAGCTTTCTCTAT